TTACCACACTATATCCTCATTAGACACACTATACCACTATTAGACACACTAATAACACTATAAGACACACTGTATCACTATAAGACACAATATAGCCTGGTGTAGCATATATGTATAAGCTCTTCTCAGTAATTGCAAGTTATACGTAAATTATTGAGGATATACCTATAATTTGCACCGATATATAGGCGATACATTATATTAAACGACGATATATAATTGGTGGTTGTTATATGATTCCCTTAAGGTGAATAAATAATGAGTTAACTGTAATAAATTAAATTATATTATTATATATTATATACGTGTGCGTGTAAGTCGACAGTGCGCGTTTGTGAGTTATCGACACACCTATACTACATGTACACGCATACATACACGTAGTAGCACCTACACATGCATATACACACACAAAACAAAACGTACTCACACACACACACACCACAAGAACATATTTCACCACAGTTACCACATTCACTGTTCTTCTCTCTGTAATCTAAACGAGAATAATTACATCCTCCCATTACTAAAGTATTCGTTCCTCTTCCCAGGTGTAATTAGGGGTAATGACCACGTGTGTGTGAGTGTGTGGCGAGGAAATGTCTACAGGTAGACTCTTGGTCAACTCTGTGTGTGTGATGCTATCTTGAGAAATGGTCTATTGGTGGTGATTATGGGTACTGGGGCTACCACCTTACTCTGCCGCCTCCTGATGACTGACTGACGGACGGACACACACCCTTGTACTCTCTCCAACACTACACAGGCGTCTTCCACCCACACACACACCATGGTCCTCGATGACACCACTCCCGCCTCCAGGTATCCTCACACCTGACCACCCATGATCACCTGCACCCCCTCCAGTGTTGCCAGAGGTACACGCCCCCTCCCTCACCCAGTGATGCCAGAGGAACACACACCCCCTCCCTCAGTGTTGCCAAAGGAACACATTACAGTCTACCTGATGATCAACATAACTCGTTCACTGTATGTCGTTATATTAGCTCAGAAATGACATGCAAGTACAGGTACAGAAGGTGGCGGCCAGAGAACAACAAGGGGAGAGAGAGAGACCTCCCCAGCTGTCATTACTCAGGTGTGGAGGAGCCTGGAGGACGAGTCATACACCCAGTAGACGAGGTCAAGGTCGTGCCTGCATGACAACTTGCCAAGGTCGCTGTCTCCTGCACCGTCAGGATACTACACTACACCTCACTCCCTGGGAACTGATTTTAATAGAGGCAACCGGAGTGTGTTAACAGTTCACACGGCGGGAAATCGTCTCCAGGTGTGTAGCAGGTGTGTGTTTGGAGACCTTTACTCCTCATAGATGGAAGTTTGTTGACAGTATCGACGTGTGTTATGTTGAACCTGACCGATACTGTGAAGGGTTGGGTCATTAAGACTCATTATGGTGTGGCCAGGATGATTTGGATACGCTGTCCTGGAGTGTGGTGGGACAACTACCACAATTACCATCAACCACACCCCTCTACCACAACTACCACCAACCACACCCTCTACCACAACTACCACCAACCACACCCTCTACCACAACTACCACCAACCACACCCTCTACCACAATTACCACCAACCACACCCTCTACCACAACTACCACCAACCATACCCTCCTACCACTTCCACCAGCCACACCACCACAGCTTCCACCACCACACCCTCTACCCACAACTACCCCACACCCTCTACCACACCAGCCACACCTCTACAACTACCACCAACCACACCCTCTACCACAACTACCACCAACCACACCCTCTACTGGCCACAACTACCAACCACACCCTCTACCACTACCACCAACCACACACCCTCCTGCCACCACCCCCACTACCCAACCACCCTCTACCACACCACCAACCACCCCTCTACCACAACGTGGCCTCCAGCCTCCCCCAATAGCCACACCTTCGCCACCATTTATTTACCTTAATATTAAATATCCTAATACATAAGCAACTATCCTATCTGTGTTAAATTAGTTGAGCCGCAGATCGATGCGGCATTCGGTGACTGTAGCCTCATAGTCGATATCTGCAGCAGTTGACGGAGTAGGGGCAGAAGCTCTCGTTCCCCTGAGGCAGAGCAAAGCCGACCGAAGGAGAGAGAAGGACAGTCGACATCTCATCCAGGCTCTACCACAATTACCTACCAGCATCCACACATTGTAGTCACATTGAGGAGCCAAAGCGAAGCACACAAGTTGGAGGCCCAAATGTGTGTGTGTGTGTGTGTGTGTGTGTGTCCCCTGTTTACCGTCACTTGTGTATGCCAGGGAGGAGGCAGGGTGATGGCGAGGGCTGGTCTTGCATACAGAGGTGGGGGGAGGGGGTGTGAATCTGTCGAGAATAGTGGAGGAGGCATTCTCATTCTCTCTCTCTCTCTCTCTCTCTCTCTCTCTCTCTCTCTCTCTCTCTCCATCTTTGACTAAATAAAAAGTAAATTGAATATTTTGTACCTTACCTAACCTAACCTATATCAACACCATCATTACACTATCACCAACAGCCTCCACCATCACCATCAGTCAAACATTTAATACAGGCATTTCCTCTCCTCTATTGTCTACAACATCGGTATTCTACACACACACACACACACACACACACACACACACACACACACAGTACCCCCTCCCCCCACACGAACCAAGAGGACCATGATGGCTTACCTCTCCATCCAGCTGAGGTCTAGGGGGAAAAAGATGCTATCCCACTCATAGACCATTTCGGATTAGGGATTGTAAATATAGATTATGATCCAGCCAGACGGTCGGGATTGGAGATTAGGAATTAGTAAAGCTTGTTCAGGTAGCCATTATGTCTAGCCCAGAGAGGATTATGTCTTACCGTGGTGGTCCAATGCCTGGTTACTTGTGGTGTACTGTATGTATGTCTGTCTGTCTTCCAGTAACATGTCTACTTTAACAGCCATATGTCTACTTTAACAGCCATATGTCTACTTTAACAGCCATATGTCTACTTTAATAACCATATGTCTACTTTAACAGCCAAATGTCTACTTTAACAGCCATATGTCTACATTAACAGCCATAATATGCCTACTTTAACAGCCATATGTCTTATAACAATTTTATAACTCATAACATTACGCATTTTATTTATGATCTTGTCTTGTCTGTAGTTGTTGTTATTATATTTCTAACGTGTTATTTTTATTGTTATTTTTCCTTTATGAAGAACAAACAAGAGAAGGTATTATTATTATTTACATTCTGTCTGTCTCTCCCTTCTTCCTATTATTTGTATTTCTTCTGGTTCTCTTTCCCTCCTCTTGATTTTTTTCATTTTCTCTCTTCTTTCTTTCTCTTACGTTTTTACCAACACACACACACACACACACACACCTGGGCAAACCCCCTCCTCTCCTCCCCCTTCCTCTCTCAGGTATCTTCTGTACTTGTATATCCAAAGAGTCACTTAATACTTACTTATAAACACGTACAGTCAATACTTACCAATGTAGTTACGAAACTTTATATAACTGTGGCAAAAAATGATACAAAAATATCCATGGCAAACAAAATGGGATAAACTTGGCAAAAATGAACAAAATAAATATCCATGGCAAACAAAGATGGGAGTTTTGATTACACACGAGAGATAAATGTAGTGTAAAGATTTCTGTGTGATCAACAGGTGTGCATTTATTACCTGTGGTCGGGCAGGTATCGGAAAGTACCTGATTGTAGTGTTCAACTGGACGGCTGGTGCAAAGCGTCTCTTAGTATTATTATTTTTTTTAAGTTGATCCTGAATGCTAAGTCGTGTGTGTGTGTGTGTACAGCTGCGTCAGGCGATGAAAGCGTGGAGTGACAGCCCAAGGACGTCTGGTTGTGCCGGGGTGATATAACATTGTTGCTAAGATGGAACTTCACCAAAATGTATTTATTTTTTATTTTTTCTTTACTAGTTGAGACACACACACACACACGACTTAGCATTCATGGTATTTCTGGGGTACATACACATCTCTTAAGACAAACTTCAGCTCTCTATCTTCATATCTGTAGCCGCGTAGAGCGAGAAACCACACGAGGCCGAACTAACAAACGGACAAAGTAGTTTTAGATTACCACCATTGAGTACAAACTCCTCGAACACATCAAGGGTGACTGAGGAAGATACGAGTGTCACCACAAGACTCTCAGCCATAAACGCTTTTACTAGTTGAAGTGTCACTCAAGGGTCGGGGGGGGGGGGGACAATAGCTCAGAGCATTACATGAGGTCCGTTGTGGCCATCATGTTAACAGGTGTAAGGGAAATAAGTTTTCATGCAGGTGTTATGTAGTGACGTCACAACCTCGTAGGCCTACACATATGACACTTTTTAACCTAACCTAACACGTTTTATGTAGAGTGTAAGAAGGTTAGGTTAGGACTATCTCGTGATTACTACCCTGTGCCCCGGGAGAGGTGGGTTGTGGGCACCGTCTAGACTGCTGGCGAGGATGATGCAATACTCACCTGACGAAGATCACCCGTCACACTGGAACAGAGGTCAAGGAATTCTAAACACTGACCTGAGGTATTATATAGAGTTTATTAAATCATCATTCATTTAAAAGTCATAATGTGGGTCATGGGAAGAGGTCAAAGGTCGTTAGTGTGAAATATTACTCCTTACTTCCCCCAAAATTCTCCATCAACTACCTAACAGACTTACAGTACACTAACGAGGTCATTAGAGTCATTAAGACCTTCAAACAAAACGAGTATTGTCCATAATTACTCAGCGATGTTTCAGTGATCGAATTTGAGTTGAAGGAAAAACCTGTAGGAGGCGATGAAGGTGTTGTCTCGTCCCTCCTGCACCGTCAAGCATCGCGTCTCTGCAGGAAATGTAGTGAGAAAGAAATAAACATCAGGATGTACTAAATATGTTGTGATTTATTTTCCATATGTGGGTCTTATAGTAAACAGGTAATTAACAGTCAATATTTCCTTCTTGACAGCGGAATATGTATCGACGCTGAGGTCCTACGAGGTGGTCACCCCCAGGAGAGTTAACACCGACGGTACCTTCCTCACCCACCGCCTCCTCCATCACCACGACACTCCCGCCCTTAGATCTAAACGACACGTCGCCTCTGTAGATCCTCACCACGACCTCAACCTCCACTACATGATATCCTTAGATGGGAAGGATCACCAGGTATGTTAAGGATCTCGAACCAGCGTAGGATCAGTGTAGGATATTATCACTGAGTTTAAGAGGCTAGGTTAGCTATTTACTTCTCCTAGTTCTCTATATCCCGACAGACATATAAACTTCTGTTCGTTAATCTAAAAATACAGTATATTTTCATCTTTTTTGCTTCCAAATTCTTTAAATTCCACAATTTTTAATTTTTACGTTATCATGAATGTATGTACAGTATGGTCATATTCTTGTACAGTGTGTGTGTGTGTGTGTGTGTGTGTGTGTGTGTGTGTGTGTGTGTGTGTGTGTGTGTGTGTGTGTGTGTGTGTGTTCCTATAGATACAATTACACCTGTTTGTATGTTAATTAGACTAACTCAGGTGTGTTTCTCCCACAGGTGACCCTCAGCCCCAACAGGAGGTTCTTGGCGCCCCATGCAGTAGTAGAGCGGCGTCGTGGGGGCGCTCTACTCAACGGCAGTTCCCACGCCCAGGTCATAGGTCACCTGCCCTCCTGTCACTATCACGGCTACGTCAGGAATCACACCGCCTCCCGCGTCGCCCTCTCCGCCTGCCATGGTCTGGTACGTGTCTCTCCTGATGCTTGTTGTGTTGTGTTTATTTATGTGTCTGTCTGTCTGTCTGTCTCTTTGTCTGTCATTAACACCATCAGAAACTCTTAAGTAATGACTGATGGTAAAATAATAAACATAGTCTGGGATTTATATGGTAGGAACTCTGTGTGTGTGTGCGCGCGTGCGCGTGTGTTAGGCAAGGGCGAGGAAGCTCTTGTGTGGCTAGCTATGGAGCATAATATATACGAGGAGCATAATATATCTGTCTGGGGTCCGTCAGTACAAAGTAATGAACACACACACTTGAATCCAAAATAACTCACATCCGGATAACTTTGAATACTAAATATCTTACACCTTCGGATAACTAGACCAAAAATGACAGAGTAGAAGAAGAAGAAAGTCAGTCGAATACACCGGATAGCTTCAAACATAGGTTGGATGCTTATATGAGCAATAGGGGTTGGGTGTAAATGGGACTGCCCAGTATGGGCCAATACGCTGCAGTTTCCTCCATTCCAGTCAGTTAGACAGGGCTCAGAGAAACATCAGTGACCAACCCTCGTCATGGTTATCGTGCGTGACCTTGGTGAGATAACACGTAAAGGTCAAGGTCGTAATCGAATACGTTTTGTACATCTACAGTCGAGTCTTGTTTCATGACCTTCAGTGAGGCCATTGGTTGTTGCTGGGTAGTTCTCATATAAAGGTAATGGGCACCAGTGATGGGCATGATGGTGCTGGGCATTAGTGGTGATGGGGATTAGTGGTGGGCATGATGGTGCTGGGTGTCAGTGTTGGGCATTAGTGGTGATGGGGATTAGTGGTGGGCATGATGGTGCTGGGTGTCAGTGTTGGGCATTGGTGGTGATGGGTATTAGTGGTGGGCATGATGGTGCTGGGTGTCAGTGTTGGGCATTAGTGGTGATGGGGATTAGTGGTGGGCATGATGGTGCTGGGTGTCAGTGTTGGGCATTAGTGGTGATGGGGATTAGTGGTGGGCATGATGGTAAGGTGTCGGTGGGCATTATGGTGGGCATGATGGTGGTGGGTATGGATGAAACTGATGCCCTGTGTAAAGGTCATATGGCTACTCTAAATGGATTGTGGTCTTGGTGACGTAGGAAGTGGATAGATCACGCATTTCTACAGTACCTACATTTCCAGTACCTACATCTCCAGTACCCACATCTACAGTACCCACATCTACAGTACCTTCATCTACAGTACCTACATCTCCAGTACCTACATCTACAGTACCTTCATCTACAGGACTTACATCTCCAGTACCTACATCTCCAGTACCTACATCTACAGGACTTACATCTCCAGTACCTACATCTCCAGTACCCACATCTACAGTACCCACATCTACAGTACCCACACATTACAGCACCTTAGCTTGTTTGTGGGTCGTTTTACTGTGAGTCGTTTCCATGATGTGATGGCCATTAATTCATCATTTTAGATTAATTATATATAACATGGAGTCTAGACTGAGTTACTGTTTATAGAAGTGTTTCAGTAATCTTCAATTATAATCTTTGATAAAACTTAATTCTCAGTGTCCCTCTTCCTTCACACATCTCAATTAACGTTCTTACTTCCTTCTGTATTTCCTCTTACGTTTGTTTACTTCGACTTAAGTTACCATCTAATAATAAGGTATTCCTCTCCCTTTGATCAGTACCATGTTGTTACCTCTTACACGATCACAAATTTCTCTCTCCTTTTTTTATATCTTGGCGTCACCGACAGACAACAAGCTCCTCGCCCTGTACACACACACATTTTAACTGTCTTATATAACCCACAAGGTGTCGTATAATAGCTGACAGGTTACTATTATCACCTGGAGATTAACATAACATCATAAATGCCATAGTGTGATATCGAAGGAGCCACTGTGTGTGTCAAAAAGTGTCATGGCGATTTACCTCCCCACCCCACCCCCCCCACAAAAATGACACCTCCAAATATATGAGAGGTGAGGAGCGTCATCACCTCCCCTATATGGTATATATGTATGTGATGCGCCCCGGCAGGTTTATAGTCAGTGATTAATATAAATGTGTTTTGGTCTGTCTCTCAAACGCCGAAGATGTGGTTTATGTATGGGTGGGCGTGGGAGGGCGTGTAGCGTGGTGTGGTAGATGGTATAGGGATCAGTTTGTAGGGTGGGGTGGGTGGTGGGGTGGTGTTTGTGGGTGGTCTGAGGCAAGGAAAACATGAAGCTACCTTTTATTTTACCGGTTTAATTAAGAAAAGATTTTTTTTTCTTTACTCTTGCAAGCTGTCTTCTCCCCGCCTCCACGGTGTAGTGTTGTTTACAAGACGCAACAAAGTCTCAACCCTCTCACCTGTTCTCATTCGTCGTTCCTAACTACCCCGCCAGATGTGTCCTGACGTGGTTGCCCATTACACAACAAAGGCCGTAGAAATGTTGGTGTTTACTCTGTTTACCTCGCATCCCAGCACCTCACATCACCACACATAACAACCCAGCACCACACATCACCACCACAACACCACACGTTACCACCACAACACCACACGTCACCACCACAACATCTACTCCCTAATACACACCAGCTGTCAGGATGAATGATCGATCCTACACTTTACACTTCTTCCCTCCTCTTCCTTCATTTTTCTCTGCCTTGGCTTCACAATTTACCAAACCTAACCTAACCTAACCTAACCTAACCTAACCTAACCTTATATACTACTCCCTTGAGACTGCTTGGAGAATGTCTTACCTCCTCTCTACTTGCAATCTCTTTTTATCTCTCAATTCTTCTCATTCCACTACATTAAAAATAAGATTATCTCTCTTTCTCTCTTTCATAATCAACAGTTAAGTAAGAAAATATCTCCTCATCTGTCTGTGTGTGTGTGTGTGTGTGTGTGTGTGTGTGTGTGTGTGTGTGTGTGTGTGTGTCACTTCCTCCCTAACTCGTGACCAGTGGTATATGTAATTTCATCACTGACTCACTCACTCACTCAATGGCGGAGGTAATTGGATTCAGTCAGTTTACTAGTTTCCACAGGTTATGTCAGGCTTTCATTCTTATCTTTTTATTTTTTTCGTTTCATTCACTTTCTTTCTTACATATTTTTTTGTTTTCTATCTCCTCTTCTTCTTCTCTATCTCCCATCTTTCATTTGTTTGTCTGTATATTCTTTCACTATTCTTGTTTATCATTCTTTGTATTATTCTTTTGTTTCTTTTTTTATTCATTATTATAAGTACAGGCCCCTTCACTTGTGCGTTTACAGGGACTCGTCATATAAACATTCCACAAATCATTGAGATATTTGTTTTAATATTGTTTTAATTTGATTCCATACTGTTTACTATTGATAGTTTCCTTCTGTCGAATGTAAACAAACACAACGCTGCCACACTGCACAAAACCTGACGACCCCCCTGTAAACGCACAAGTGAAGGGGACTGAACCTAACGTAATCATGCAGGAACAACACTAGTAATCATGCGAGCGAGAATGACAAGTGATGAGGATGATGAAGGCATTATGATAATGTGTAACTCCAGCTGAGGCGCCTGGCCCAGTTAGTTTCACCCCTCTCACCAGTCTAACTCACATTATAGACTGTAGTGTGTGTGTGTGTGTGTGTGTGTTTTCTACGGTCTACCATATGGGAAAAAAGCTATAAACAAATTTATCGAGAACCTGGGTGTTTTAAGGCGGCGGCGGCTCTTAGCACTACTACACACCCCAACTACACCCACTACACATCCTTTACTACACTCAGGTGGTAAATGAGTTCTGGCTTATCAGGGATTTGTAAAGTCAACCGGTGAGTGAGTCGTCTTGAGGTGCCGGGAGAGTAACATCACATGGCTATCTGTACCACCTGGCTACCTGTATCACCTTATTAAGTTAATGTGTTTTCAAAGGTGTGGTATACATCTAATCCTGTGAGTCACAAGTAGGATATAATATATTTTGTAGTTCTTATGTCACACACACACACACACACACACAGAGTAGTTATAATAGTAGTACAAGCATCAATGTTACCTGGATGGCTCTCACACATTACCTGGGGTTGGCTCTTAAAGGTACAGTGTTAGTGTTGGAGGCAGGAACCTTTACTCACTGCCCAGGTAGATATAAACACGATAACTCACAAGTTTGATACACTGTGGCAGGGGTGTAGAGGCGACGGTCGGGGTGTAGAGGTGAGGGTGTAGAGGCGACGGTAGGGGTGTAGAGGTGAGGGTGTAGAGGTGACGGTGTAGGGCGACGGTCAGGGGTGTAGAGGTGGGGTGTGGGGGCGACGGTCAGGGTGTAAGAGGTGAGGTTTAGGGCGACGGTCGGGGTGTAGAGGCGAGGGTGTAGAGGCGACGGTAGGGGTGCGGAGACTTGTGTCGAAGACTGGCGCCACCGACGGGTCTGTGGGTCGACGGGTCCACAGTGACTTGAGTAAACCAGAGTGAGAGGGTTCGAATTTCTCCTGACCAATGTGTATATTCCATCAAGTGTGTGAAGCCTGGATGGACGTCGTCTTTTGGTTAGGTTAGGACACCGCTTATATGCCCTCTCTCTCCTCTCTTGTGTGTGTGTGTGTGTGTGTGTGTGTGTGTGTGTGTACAGTAGGTGTGTCTTGAGGTACCTGTGTTTACCTGCCTCGTCCTGAAGTCACTCTTACTTGTACCCTGCAGTTACCCAGTCAAATCTCCCACGTCACTCTTCCCACCACACCTCCCCACTCCCCCACCACACCACCACTGCCACCTCCCCCACCACACCCTCCCCCCACGTCACTCCCCACCACACTCCCCACGTCATCTCCATTCACACCTCCCACGTCACTCTCTCCACCACACCACCCACGCCACTCCCCCACCACACCTCCCATGCCGCTCTCTCCACCACACCACCACCTCCCACTCTCCCACGTCACTCTCCCACCACACCTCCCACGTCACTCCCACCACACCACCCACGTCACTCTCCCACCATTGTTTCACCCACGTCACT